AAATCCTGGAGGAGAAGATGAACTGGACACCTGCTCCACATCTCCATCAGGTTTTCCCATCCCCAGGAGAGGAGCAGCTCCCAGGTTGGGTGTTCCCCAAGAGGAGTTCCCAGCTCAGCATTCCCAACCTGCTCCTTTTTCCTGGGAATGCTCCCTGAGATGAGCAGCTCCAGCAGGGATCATCACCCTTTGGCTCAGCCCAGGGGTTTGGAGCTGGGAATCCTGCAGCTCTGCCCTCCCTGTTCCCATCCCCCTCCCCACTGGAATCCAACTGGAGGGATCAAAAATACTCTGGGGCTATTTTAAAAGCCCCTTTCTCCCGGGGGCTGGATCAGCTGGATCAGCTGTTTGCTGCTCCCACCCGGAGCCAAACCCACCTCCTGGATCAGGAGCCACTTCCAGAGCCTCTGGGGACATTTGGGAACTGGTCAGACTGGTGTTTGCTGGGGTAAGTGGAAGGTTTTGGGGGGCTCTTGAGCCAAAGGGCTGGAGCTGGGGAGGGATTGGGATCTTTGCTTCCCATCTTTCCTGCACATCCAGGCCCCCTCTTCCCATGGGAATCCCGGGGTGCTGGTTGGGGGGGGCACAGGGATGGGATTCCAGGCTTGGCTCATCCCTCCCCTCCCACCCTGGAGCCAGGGATGCTCAGGAGGGGCTGCTGGAGGGGCTGGGAGCAGCATTCCCAGCCACGGATCCCATGGGACAAACGAGGAGGCCCCTTTGGGAAGGTTGGGCAGAGTCTCCCTGGTCACACAGGCCATTTTGGGTCCAAACCCCCTGGTTTTTGGCTCCTGGTCAGGGTGGGTTTGCAGGCACCAGTTGGGGCTGAACTTCTGGAGATGGGAGGGGTTGGAGCAGATGATCCTTGAGGTCCTTCCAACCTGGGATCCCAGGATACGTGGATTTCTAGTAGTTAGAGAAATCATGGGATGGGTTGGGATGGAGGGACCTTCAAGATCATCCAGATCCAACCCCCCCCATGGGCAGGGACACCTCCCACCAGCCCATGATCTAAAGCTCCACCAGATCCAACCCCTCCATGGGCAGGGACACCTCCCAGCAGCCCAGGCTGCTCCAAGCCCCATCCAACCTGCCCTTCAACACCCCCAGGGATGGGGCAGCCACAGCTTCCCTGGGCACCCTGGCCCAGGATCCAGGATCTGGTGACCCAGCTGGAGGGATCTGGTCCTTTCTGCTGCCTAAACCTCCAGCTGTTTCTCCGGGTGGGAAGGGGGGAGTTGGTGGCTTTTGGGAGCAGTTTGATCACAGCTGCTTGTGTCTCAGTGCCCTGATCCCTCTGCCAGCTCCGGAGGAATTCCCAGCCCCCCCAGCCCCACCTGTGCCAGCCCCTGCCCCAGCCTCCTGCTTTGGTCTCTGCACTGATTCCTGAGGGTGTTCCTTTCCCTTCCTTTCCCTTCCTTT